TATTCAGTTTTGCGATAACTCATTGTCACTCCTTTCCCAGTGCATGGCATGATGGCTTTAACACCCATTGCACAATGACAGCTATTGTCGAAAAACTGGAATAGCATGTTTTGTAATGTAGTTATTCAATTTCCTTGCTTCTTTCTATACAAAGGGAAGAAAATATAAGCAAAGAACTAATCAAAATGCATTTAAAATATTTAAATTGTCATTAATGTAAAAAACACCAGGGTATAAAATATCTCAGAAATTTATAATTAGTGTCATGCTTGTGCATGTATGTTATATGTACAGGTGTATAGCTGGTGTATGTGAACACATCTGTATAGACATATATATGCACATGTAAACATGTGTTTGTCAACCAGAGATCAAACTCAGCTGTCTTCCTTCGTCTTTATTTTATTTGTTGAGACAGAGTCTCACCGAACCTATTTAGTGAGGCTGGATGGTAAGCAAAATTGAAGGACCCATCTTTTCTGTCTCTTCGATTTTGAGATTATAGAGGAGTACCACCGTGCCCAGGGTCTCACCGGTGTGCTGGGATTCCATTCTCAAATTTCATAATTGCATGTCAAGCTCTTGATTAAATGAGCTGCCTCCCAGTCTCTTACAGCCAGTATTTTAAATTAACGTTCATAATATGCTAAATCCCATGAATTCTTCCAGAGAAAAGTGCGTGAGTACAACATTTTTGACATGTAATATTAATTATTAACTAAAGAAAGTTGATAATATTTGTGCAAGCATAATGAAATAATAAAACTAGTAACATGTGAACTTACTTTGGATCCACTGAAAGCTCTAACATGTCCTATATATCCTGAATTATGGCCTTGTTCTTTTTCCTCCCAGAATAATCAACCCAGGAAACAAGCTTCTAGAGTTTTCTTGCCCTCTGTTCTTTGTTCCCCATTTTCTCAAATACTCTAGCCCAGGACTCCCTCCACTGCATTATGGTAAATACAACTCAATGTAAATCATATTTATAAGTATAATACATATATACTTTGTACATATCAGTATATTGAGTTTTACTGTACAAGAGTGGTTTTATTTATGTTTTTTTTCTTTAAAGGAGCATCCCATTCCTGATGTCGTGGACTTTATGAGGGCCCCCTCACCAGTGCCTGAATATGCTCAGGTGAGCCCTGTCTGATTTTACATATTAGATGAGCAGACAAGTGACATTTTTATTTGCTTGAACTTGGATGTACAAATCAAAGCACTGTAAGTCAATCTGTTATAAGCCAGGAGCCCCAATTTTAGGCATACAGCTACTGTTGTGGAAAAATGATTGGTAGATGCTTCTAGGTTAAGGCATAGAAAATTAATCATAGCTCAAATGTTCATCTAGGTGCTAGTAACACAATATTTTATTTCATCAACTTTTCCAGCTGCTGGTGGGACTCAGGGCCTTGTATACGCCAGGCAAGTTTTCAACTGTGGAACACCATCTCTGATCAAAATAGTAACTGAATTTATTGGGATTATATCTCATGGGTGAGCACATAGTTCTGCAGTTCTGCATGTAAATGCCCCAGATCTAGAAGAGGCCATTACACTTCACCTGATCTCAGGCAGCATTCTATTGCAAGCTCCTCCATATCCTGCTGTATTCTACCGCTTCGTATTGGTTTTATGTTTTGAGATATACTTCTTGTTTTTAATAAATTAGGTTGCAAATAGTATTAAGTATTCTTTTCCTCTTATATTGAAATAATAAATGTATCAGTTTCTTTCAACAGGTCCCATGTAATAGGTAGCCACCATTTTTTCAACGCTTTACATGCTTCTTTTTAAAAAAAAAATTTCACTGTTTAAATGCATATGTATGAATAGGTATGACCTGGTTTTAATTAGAAGTCATTTACTATCTCCATAAATAGCTAGGAAAGTGCCTGCTAGAACAGAACCAAGAAGACAAAAGAACAACTTATGGATAAGAAACAGGAGTTTCACTTCTGTATAATGTAAGAGCGTATTTGCTAACTTACTTCTAGTGTTAAGTCAATGGGGAAGAGCAGGGTAGAAAGAAAGACATTGGTGTGGTAGGGAAGTCTCGCTGTCATTCATCCATCATCTATCATCTATCTATCTATCTATCTATCTATCTATCTATCTATCTATCTATCTATAATCTATCTATCTATCTATCTATCTATCTATCATCTCATATCTTTTCTTTATTTATATATTATTTATGTTTCTTTAAGGCTTACAAACGTTTAAGACATTTCTATTTTTTTAACTCACATAAAATACTGTATTTTATGCAATATCTTTATAGTCAGAATGTTTGCTTTGTAATTGAATAGATTGTGATGGATTTTGAAAACTGACAGATTTTATGCGAGTGTTCATAGGATATTAGTGGAAGTATTATTCACTTTTAGTAATAAAAGTGATCTGTGTTGGAGGCAATAAATATAATTTTTAGAGCAAACTATTTCTGATCTGGCTATTGGTCTCTTGGTTGTGTTTTGTGTGTGCTTAGAACAAATATAGTATGATATATACTGAAAATTCCAGGGAACAAACATTCACAGAATGCCAAGCAAAGGTCACTTCTTACTTATATTTTAAACTTTATTTTTTCCAATATAAATTACATCTATCTATTTAAAATATTCTGGTAAATAATTTATCTTAATTTATTTACCTCCCGTGAAAGCATTTCTCCTGTTTTGACAAGGACTATCAGAAAAATTAAAAGAATGAGAAAAGTCATATATTGTTCAAAAATGACAAAAAAGTGTGGGTTTAAACGGAATTTTACAAGGACATCAGATTTTGTATGCAAATTTCCCAATTAAAGTTCAATCTCTTAAGATCCAAATGCAGTGTAAATGCTTTGTGAAGAAATTTAATACACTTTAAACACATTCTCTGGGAAGATAACCATAAAATATGTGGTGGTAATAAGTTAGTTCAAACTCCATTTTACTGTTCTTTCAAAAAAAATTTTCTGGTTTGATACTTTCTTGCTTTATTATGTGACACAAATGAATCAGTAGATGAGCAGTTTCATCTCCATGTGAAATGGTTCAACTTGATTGACTTAGTACCTAAGCCTGGGATGTGTATTCATTTTCGTCTCTCTCTCTCTCTCTCTCTCTCTCTGTGTGTGTGTGTGTGTGTGTGTGTTTTCTGTTTCCCTACTTCTCCCTCACCCCTTTCCTCTCCAAGAGTATGCTCTTTCTTGCAGTATAATAGAGAGAGAGAGAGAGAGACTGAATGTTTAATGTAGTGATAAGAGCGGCGGGGCTGCATCCCTAGCACCCCGGCCACCTGCTAGCTTATGCCCGAAATAACAACACACAAACTGTATTCATTTAAACACGGCTTGGCCCTTTTCTATCTAGCCTCTTCTAGGCTAATTCTCACATATTAATTTAGCCCATTTCTAATCATCTGTGTTGCACCCCAAGGTGCGCTTACCGGGAAGATTCTAGCCTACGTCCATCCTGGGTCGGAGCTGAATTGCATCTGTCTGAGAGAGCGGAGCATGGCGTCTCTGTCTGAGGCATTTTATCTCACTTCCTCTTCCTCCCAGCATTCTGTTCTGTTTACTCCACCCACCTATGTTCTAACCTATAAGGGCCAGCCAAGCAGTTTCTTTATTTTTTTTTAACCAATGACTTTCCTCCATCAGTTTAGCTCTGTGAAGCCTATCTAAAACACCTGATTGATCTAAAAAAGAACTTAATGGCCAAAAGCAAGGCAGGAGAAAGAATAGATATGTCTGGCAGGCAGAGAGAATAAGTAAGAGGAGAATTCTTTGGAGAGAGAATCTAGGAGTATGAGAAGGAGGAGGAATCTAGGGGCCCAGCCACCTGTCTACACAGCAAACCATGGAGTAAAAAGTAAAGAACGGTATATAAGAGAAAGATAAAAGCCAAGAGGTAAAAGGTGGACGGGATAATTTAAGTTAAGAGAAGCTGGCTAGAAATAAGCCCAGCTAAGACTTGGCATTCGTCAGAATGAATACGTCTTGATGTGTAATTCTTTGGGAGGTGGTTGCGGGCCTCCCAAAGAGTAAAGAACAAGAGCAAAGGTCCAAAAGTGTATCAACCTAAAGCAAAAGCAGTCAACTACAATACGGAGCTCAGGGCTCTGACTTAGTCATTGAGTTTCAGATCCACGGAAAAAAAACGAAAATCAAAACTGCTTTAATTCCAAACAAAATGAATCCTGGTAAAAATATAAAGATCAAAAGTTCTCATATTAATTTTTAACCTGTGAGTTGAATTGTAGTTATAAAAACGTAACCATATGCCAATGGAGACGAAATCGGAATCTACAAGGTATTTTAAGTTCTACCTCCTATTAAGTGATAAAACAGGGTTTTGTATATTTATTTTTTTTTAGTATTTTTTTCGTTTATAGTCATTCAAGTGCGCTTATGAAACTGCCTTTTGAGCCGCACTGAGAAGGCAGTGGCTGCCATTTTTATTTTCCCAAAGGGGGAACCGAGACACCCAGAGGGTGAGAACTCTGGAATGCAGGTCAGTCAACTGGTTCTGGCCCTGAGCTCTGAGTCTTCACGATTGTATTGCACATGGAGTGGCTTAGATTGACGAGACTCGGGCTCCTTCAAACTCATTAGAGTCCCTTGAGGAAAGTGCCGTCTCTGGACCCGGTTTCCTCCCTAAGACGGGATCTAAAAATGTTTTATCTCATGGGACAAAATAAGAATTAATGTCATTCTTTTCATGTAAAGCAGTTACTTGGGTTAGTGTTTGGTTCACGATAAACATTTAGCAAACGGAACTTTTTATGTATTCCTCCGGTGCGCTCTGATAATTTCTTCTGTGAAAATGACAAGATAATAGCAGCTTTCAGACGCTTGTCCACGAACAACACTCGAGAATGCTAGTCTGAAACTTTGAGGAAGAAAAACAAAAGTATCGTCTCGTTTTGAAGCCCCTACTAGAAAAGTTTATAGCTTTTGGCAGAAACAAGCGCTGCAACCCTTAATCGATGTAAGGAAGAGAAGGCGACCCTAGTGTGGAAAGGTAGGAGGACAGATACACTCTGTCTGCTGAAAGTCCTTATGGCATTTTCATGTATCGTCTGTTCTTATTCGCCACCAGCGCCCATTTCTATCTCCCCACCCATGTGCCCTCAAGGATCCCCCATTACGCTTTTGTGTCACGTTATACTCTGTTACCCTCCTCTTTCCCATTCTCTCCTCTTTGAAGATCTCTTCCCTTCCCCCTTTTAATTTTACATCTCTCCCATATGTATGTATATGTATATAAATATACAGATATAGAATAGGTATAGATACAGGCTCTGTGCGTGAGAGGGAACATGAAGTATTTGTTTGTATGAATATGACTTATTTTACTTAATATGGTTTCCAGTTCTCTTTCCCTGAAAGTGTCAAGTCTCATTTCTATTTATAATTGGATACTGTTCTTTTATGCACATGAACAACATTTTCTTTATCTAATGGTCATTAGGTTGGCTCCATTTCTTAGTTACTATGCAGCAATAAAAATATATGCTCGAGTACCTAAGGCACGGGATTGAGAGCCTTTGGTGTATACCCAGGTGGTAGTGAAGATTTTACTGTTCTGAGAGACCTCTGTGCTGCCTTCTAATGGCAGCTCCGGTTGACACTAATACACATCAGCAGGCATCCATGATTGTATTTAATGTCCTTTGTGAAGTCAGCCTTTCTAACTGGAGTGATATAGAAACCTACAACAGTTTCCCTTTCCAGTTGGCAGACAACTAAGGTTGTTGAATACTTTTTCAACCTGTCTGCATTTTCTTTTGAGAAATATCTGCTCAGTTTGTTAACCCATTTATTGGATATGGAGACTTGTTTTAAAATTCTTTGATTTTTAATTGTTCTTTGTATATTCCAGATGTTAAGTCTCTGTCTAATGTACAATTGACAAAAATTTCTCCCATTCTATAAGCAGGCTTTTTTACTTTGAATCTTTCCTTTCTTGAGCAGAAGTATTTCATTTCACGAAACCCAACTGATAAGTTCTTATGGGTACTTCCTGCTCTAAAAACTATTTTCAGAAACTTTGACTTCATGATATATTTATAAGACTAGCAAAACAATCCTAAATTTTAACGCAATACACTTAGTTAATCCCAAATTTAATACTACATTTAAGTATTGTTTTCTCATTGTTTTTCACTAGAAGTTTCATCTTTTCAGGTTTCATGTTGTTCTTTGATAATTTTGCATTAATTTTTGGGCAGAGTAGGAGATGATGATCTAATTTCATTCTTTTCCATGTTGATATCCGGTTTTCCCTACGGTGTTTGTTGAAGAGGGGTTTTGTTTCTGTGAGTGTCGACCCCAGTGTACATTTTTGACACTCTAGTAACACTTTGGGCAGCAACCACTATGTGCTGTATGTAATTCTGACTTCTCAGTCCTCTGTCTCTTGCGCACCTGTTTTCCCGACTGTGGCTCTGCAGAATAATTCTCAGGTGTGCACACAATACCCTTTTTTTCCTGTATAGGATTACTTTGGCTACTCAGTGCCTTTTATATTTCCATGTAAATTTTAGAGTTGTTATGCTTGTGTTGTGAATAGTTTCCCTGGGATCTTAAGGGGGGGGTTGCATTAACCCCCTAGGAAACTTTTGGTAATATATTTTCAGAATATTACTTATGCACTGCACAAGTTTTGAAGGCTTTCCCATTTTTCTAGTGTCTTTTTCAATTTTATTCTTCAGTTCCTTAAAGTTTTCATGCTAGAGACTTCCACTTTCTTGGTTATATTTATTCCTAAGGTTTTTATTTCTAATGTATTACTGTGAATGGCCCTTTCTTCCCAATGCCTTCCTCAATAAGTTTGTTATTGATTACAGAAAAGTTACAGATTTTTGTATGTTGATTTCCTAGCCTGCTACCTTGATGTGAGTGTTTATAAATCAGAGAGATTCCCGATGGTGGCTTAAGCACAGGATTGTGTCATCTGAAAATATGAGTAATTTGACTTCTTTGTCTAATTGTATCCCTTTAATTGCTCCCTCTTCTCTTACTGTTTTAATGATATTTCAAAGAGGATACTGAACAAAAACAGAGAGAATGACGGCCTTGTTTCATTCTGTATTTAAAGGAAATGCTTTTTCTTCATCTTCCATGTGTTGTTGGGTGTAAGTTTGTTGTGCATAGCCGTTATTGCTCAACACATTGCTGTGCTGATATATATATATATATATATATACCTTCTACTCCTTTATCATGAAGCCATAGTATGAGGAAGGTCGTTGGCTAATAAAGAAACTGCCTTGGCCCATTTGATAGGCCAGCCTTTAGGTGGGTGGAGTAAACAGAACAGAATGCTGGGAGGAAGAGGAAGTGAGCTCATATGCCTTAGCTCTGCTCTCTGGGGCAGATGCGATGAGGCTCCGACCCAGGATGGACGTAGGCTAGAATCTTCCCGGTAAGCGCACCTCGGTGCTACACACATTAATAGAAATGGGCCAGGCAGTGTTTAAATGAATTCAGTTTGTTTGTTGTTATTTTGGGACATAAGCTATCCAGGCGGCTGGGAGCAGGGCGGCAGGAATGCAGCCGGCAGCTCCTTCTACAATAGTAGACCTGGACTAATGCTTTTTTTCTGAGTCTGCTGAGATGATCACATGATTTCTAACCTTAAATCTTTTCTGTGTGCATGTGCTGCTTGTTTGCCTTATATCAGACCTCTATTGGATTGTATATATTAAAGCAGGCTTGTATCCTGGGGATGAACTTAGTCATGTTATATTATTTTCTTATGAATTTGGTTTGCAAGTATCTCGTTGAGAATGTTTACATCTATCTTCACATGAGAAATGGTCTATAGTTAATGTTTGTGTCTTTTTTGGATAGTACAGTAATAATTAGATTTATAGAATCAGTATAGGTCTTCTGTTCTTAAAAGTCGGGAAGACTTCACCCAGTTAGTGAATTAGTGTGGTGCTAGGCACCTAATTGTTTGGAAGATTTAATTATTGCTTCAGCCTCTTTACTTTTATGAGTTGATCTTTGCTATTCATACTTCACAATGTAATTGTGGCAGTTCATGAGTGTTTAGCAAATTAGCCATTTCTTTTAGATTTTCTAGAATTTTGGAGTATTTTCAGAGTGTTCTGTAACAATTCTCTGGATTTAATGGGAATCTAACAACAGCCCTCCTTTTCATCTCTAATTTTATTAGTCTTTGTCTTCTCTCATTTTGGTTAGTTTGACAAGGAATTTGCTAATATTGTTTATCTTTCCAGAGCATGAACTCTTCCAGAGCACAACTGACTCTTGAATGGTAGCCATTGGTGGCTTCTTTGTGGGGTAAGGTTTGTCAGTCTGTTTTACCTTGCCTATTTTCTTATTTCTTCAATTTTTACTCCATAGGAATACAATTTATTTATGTTTTTCTTATACGGATTGATTTTCTTTGTCAATTCACACAGAGGTAGCTTCTAATCTGCAATTTTACTCTAACTCTTCATAATAGCTACTTTGTTACATTGATTGTGTTAAAGGTGCCCAGTGAATTAGCAGAGTTATCCTCTGGGTGTGTTTCTGAGGTTCTCTCCATAGACTGATCCTGAGATTTAACCCTTTGATGGATTCATATTATGATGGAATTATTGGCAGGTGATGAAAGGTAAGAGGTGGAGTCTAGTTGGCAGAAATGCATTACTGCAGGCATTTAGTGGGGGGATGAACCACGGCCACATCTTTGTGATGGAAAAATTCTAACTTGTGAATAAGCAACACTAGGAATTTTAGGCTTTTTGTCTGGAGTCATTGCTTTAAATTATGCTTCCAAGAATATGCTTCCAGATTTAGCCTATAATAACTATAAAGGACTATGTCATTTTACCATACATTGATGTCAAATAAAAGCACATTTGTCGCTGACCCCTCCCTGTTTTCTCATTCTGCTTCTCGGCCACCATGACTTGAGCAGCTCTGCCATGCTCACTACCACGAATTCTCTCAAAGTGTGAACTGAAATTCTTTCTTCCCTAAGACTTTCTGTCTTGCTTGCAGAGATGAAAAGTTAATTAAATATTATCATAATGGTGTTTACATTACACAGGAAAGTGTTGCCTTAGTGGATCTCCTGCCAGATTTTATTCTTGGAAGCAAGCACAGTACCTAGGAAGAGAAGAGATTCAACAAACATTTGGTTACTGTCTACGTGGAATAACACTGAGAATTTGGAGAGGACGCCTTCAGTGTAAAAAGGAACTCTAGCATCAGCTAGCTATGCAAGCGTCCCCAATTACATAATCCTGGGCTATGTTTCATTTATTTACTTCAGCTTTTCTTTAAAGTGGCAAAAAAATAATAAAGATAATCCTTGGAAGATTGTTGTAGAAAACAACGAACGTGGTACATGTAAAATGGCTAACGTTATGGTTTGCACACCATGAGCGGCGTTCACATGTCTGGTTTTCTCCGCTCAGTTATAATAAATCTTTAGGAGTTGAAAAGCATCAATCAGCATTTTATCACTCTCTGCTGCAAGATGCTCATCTGGGGAATATTTGGATTCAAATGTCTGACTCAGTGGATATTCTCCCTCCCATCTTACCTGCTAGCATGGCAGACAGCTGATGGAACACTTCTGCAGTGTCTCTGTGTTTAAGTGGATGAGATAGATACTAAGTGCTATCAAATGAAAGCACCCATGCAGGCACCTCTGCATTTTCATTTAATATGTTAAGATACTGCTAATATAAGTTATTTATAGGTCCTTCTCTGTATTTTAAACAATGGTCCTAGTTAAAAAGCATAGATTTCTAATGTTGCTTACTCATAGGTTACAATGTTTACATACAGAAAAGGTAACTGCAATTCAAACTAAAGAAAGTTACGCTTTTTCTTATAGGAATCAGACGTTAAAGAAATACAAAACCAGATAATCTTCTAATGGAACAACTGTTGGTTCTTCCAAGAACTCATTTAAATGAGCTCATTTGCTTTAGAAAACATGGTATTTGGCAGTTAGTTTTTATGTTCTTTGAAGAATGTAGAATTTAAAAAAAGAGAACGAAATCCCTTTCAATTAACAATGCCTAAGTATTGTTACCAAGTGCTGTATATGTCCTCGACTGATTGAGTTCTGTGGTTTTTTTTTTTGTCAGTCTTCTTTCTTCATGGCAGATTTTGAATTTGTTTGTAAAATGTAAAGACATGTGTTTGCCTTTCAGGATGCCTCCTGGAGAAAGGAATGGCAAATGAGTGAGCCACAGACTGGAGCTGCTTGTGTTTATTTTTAGAATGTTTTATATTTCAGGGCTTTCACATGTACAGATCTTAATTCAGGAATAAATTTTACAATTTACTCCTGTTCTTTTTGCTTGAGAATCTCAATACTGCCGTCTGCACAGGCTGTACAGATCCTCGAAATCACGAATTAGAACCTTCCCACCTAAAACCATTTGATCCTGAAATTTTCATTTTCAAATTTCAAAAGGTGTGTAGTGTGTGTGTGTGTGTGTGTGTGTGTGCACCATAGCCTAGAAGACATCCCTCTCTCCTTTCTTTCCTCCCTCCCTCCCTCCCTCCTGGCTTCAGTTTCTTTTTCTCTGTCTCTCTCCTTTCTTTTTCTTTCCTTATTAGCGAACCATTAAATAAAATAATGTCTTTATTGTAGGACTCAGAATTAATACCATCCAATTGGGTTTTTAAAATGAAGCTACAATTTTGTTGACACACAATGTTGAAATCAAGATTGTGAAGTAAGTATGCACAACAAGGTAAAATTTCAGTGTTTTAACCATTAAAATTAAATATTCTTTCAATGATTAAAAGAATTCTCTTTTTAGCCATTCAAATTAAATATTCTCTATTACCTTCAAATTAAAGGCATACATGGTTTTTAAATTACTGTCTTCTTATACACGGATTTAAAAATAAAAAGTGAAATGGAATGGCAAAATTTTACTTTAGCTTTCATGGATTATGATTATTATTCTTTCTGAAGGGAGGCACAAAATTTAAAAAAAGTAATTTTCTCTATCTGCACTTGCCTATGTATTGAAAATTTAGGCAGATATGGTGTGACTTCATAATTTACATCTAAATCATAAAAAGTCTGATATTTAATTGAGAATGGTTTCTCATAACTTCCAATGCACTTAAGTCCTATTTTTAAAGTTGGAAACCTATTTCTTTGCATTCTGTCTAATAGGAAATATGGGTTGTTAATCAATGTTCTGCAGAAGTGCCCAGAGAGAGCTGATATTTACAGACCACCTGTCAACTTTCTAAGCCCCTGCTATGGTATTTTACTTAATCTTCACAGGAGCACACGGGTCAGCCGTGTATGTAACTTGGAATCAGGGCAGAGAAGCATTGAAAGAGCAGGGGACTTTTGTGCCTTGGGTGCTACCAAGGTCTCATGCCAGCAGGACTGACTTGGGGAAGGAAACACACGAGTTAGTATCATTTTTGGAGTTTCTGGATGGAGGCCGATGGCTGCTCACAGTGAAGCACTTTGATGATGATGGCTGTACTGAAATATGCCCAACAGTATTGTGATACTCATGCTATATCTTTAACACAGAGCTCTAATCCTCTTTCAGTTAACAAACCTTAAAATGCAAAGTACCCTGATTACAGAGCAGTGTCTTTAGGCAAAAAAAAAAAAAAAAAAAAAAAAAAAAAAAAAAAAAAGATTAAAAAAAAAAAAGAAACCTTATCTCCAAATTTGACAGGGATTTAATACTGAGAATATATTAAGAATATATAAAGAATGTAATAAACAAAATACCAAATAAAATCCAATTAAGAAATGATCAAATAAATCATTTCTTTAAAGATATGCAAGTGTCCAACAAATACAAACAAAACTGTTCAAAATTCTTAGCAGAGAAATGCAAATCAAAACTAAATTGAAATTCTCTTATTTAGGTCAGAAGACTTAACATCACCGCCCCCCTCCAAAAAAAAAAAAAATTCCCAGCAAATTCTGTTTAGGGTAAAAGAGAAAATCTGCCTATATATACCTATATATACTGCTATGAAAGCAAACCAACGTAACCATTGTGGAAATTAGTGTAGACATTGATTAAAAAAATAAAGGGGGAATAAAATAAGGGATACAATGTCTTCTAGCTGTATTTAAGAGAAGGGTTTGGGCAACCATACTTATGTTCATACTATGCGCAACAGCCATGGTCTGAAATCGGCCAGATGCCATCAACAGAATGGATAAGTACAATGTAGTACACAAACACCCAGTGGAGTCCTAACACCTCATAAAGAAACCCAGAAACGTGGTGGAAATTATGTATCAAAATGGATGGAATCAGAGATGACCCAGCTAAAAATGGGCCAGATTTACATAGCCATGTCTGTAGGGAGGCTTGCTTTCTCTCTCACGTGCCCACAAAGGGCAGCAAATGGGGAGAGAATATTGGGGAACAGAATAAGGTGATTAATGTGAGAAAAACAGGGAGTGAGCGAGGGACAAATACCATAAAGTGTGTAATGTGCATCAATGAAAAGTCACAAAAATCCATCCTTTTATGAAATGCAATGAATGCATGCTAATGCTTTTTTTTTTTTTCGTTTCTGAGACAGGGTTTCTCTGTATCTTTGGAGCCTGTCCTGGAACTAGCTCCTGTAGATGAGGCTGGCTTCGAACTCACAGAGATCCACCTGCCTCTGCCTCCTAAGTGCTAGGATTTAAAAGCATGCGCCACCACCGCCCGGCTATGCTAATGCTTTTAAAGGAAAGAAATGAAGAAACCAGTAAGAGAAAAAAGAAAAAAAATAGGTAAAAATACAAGTATTGGAGAGGCAAATAATTCCAAAAGCCGTCCAACATTAAACAAAGTATCTAAAATGTATCTTTTGTAATTAAGTACTTGTTACAAACAGAATGGAGATAGTAACGCACCGAGATAAGTCCTGCTGAAAGCCATACGCTGAAATTATTTAAAATACATATTCTTTTTTATTTTTTATCATGTTATATTTTTATTTTGTCTCTTTGAAGAACCAAAGAGATGCCCCTTGACTCTAACCAAGGCTGTTTTGCAACTACTTGAATGTAGATTTTACAAAAAAAAATGTCCATGTTTTCTCTTCCTCCAGCTCCTTCATCTTCGTCCTCTTTGCCATGTAAGGATCAGATCCAGTGTCCCCATCTTTCTCTACAACATTTCTTTGTGAGAGGAGTGAGCATATGAGCAAAGAGGTCAAGACCACGATGGGTTCACCCACTGACGCAGTCTGCCTGGGCTAATGGCAGTTCACCAACTCCACCTGGACAGGGAAGGAAAAGCATGGGACCAAACTGGTCCCTCTGAATATGGCTGACAGTCGCATGGCTGGGGCAGAGTGGGAGGCCACTGGCAGTGGCACCAGGACTTGTCCCTACTGCTTGTACTGGCTTTTGAGGGACCTATTCTCTTTGGATGGATACCTTGCTCAGTCTAGTTTTAGAAGGGAGGGCTTTGGACCTTCCTCAAAGCAATGTGCCTTACCCTTTCTGTGGAGTGGATGCTGGGAGAAGATGGAGGGAATGGGAGGAGGGGAGGTACTGGGAATTTGGATTGGTATGTATAATAAAAAGTCTGTTTTCTTTTTGAAAAAATAAAAATAAAATGAATAAAAAACAAAAGAAAGAAAAAAATAAAATACATATTCTTGATTTGTGGAGCCGTCCAAGGCATACCCACACACGCGCAATCAGAGTGAGGGGGTGCTGTAACAGTAGCATACAGTGAGATAGGACCTGCCTATACCTCTCCTCTCCAGGAAAGCCCAGCTCCATCACTAAGGGTTGAGTCATCAGCTGGCTGAGTTAAATCCATGACTGTGCCATCCTTCATTGGCTGCTCACAGAAGCCCTGCATAGAGTGCTTTGAAAGAAAGAAAACAAAGACAGGCAGTGGTGGCACATGCCTTTAATCCCAGCACTGGGGAATCAGAGGCAGGCAGATCTCTGTGATTGGTAGGCCAGCCTGGTCTACAAGAGCTAGTACTTTCAGGGTAGGCTCCAAAGCCACAAAGAAACACTGTCTCGAAAAACCAAAAAAACCAACACAAAGCTTTGCTTAGTGCTCACTATTAAACTCTCCTGGGGAAATTGTTCTATAAACAGTTGTCCTCCTACTCTTCCAAAGATTGTAACTTGCTTGTGGAAGCAAGGTTTGATGTAGACTGGAGAAGTATGACAAGTTCTCTGCCAACTCTTAGGATGAGTAATCCTGTTTTAGGCTGAGAAAAGTAAATTAGCAGCATTCTCAAGTTTGCCCAAGCACAATATAGTATGCTAATCTGTGGGGAATAACAAGTTAATTCTGGAAACTATGCAGTTGCCATCCTACATTCAAATATCCAGCATCTATAGTTTCACACAGTAATCTAAAAATATCAATTAAATTACATGAAAAGTCAACCTAAATTTAATTAGGGAAAAATAAACAGGGTTATGAAACACCATCTGTTAGACTACTAGGACCAAAAATATACCTGTTCATAATTTGCTGCTAATGTAGGCAATTTGAGGAAAAGGGTCACCAAAATCCAGTTTTGATATTCTCTGATTTATTTTTATCAGTATTTTTGTTTTGTTTTTTTGTGTATTGATTTTGGATTCTTTTTTTCCTTTTTAAAACAGTGACGCTGTAGTCTATCGCAAGAATTCATGAAAGTCTGGGAGAGATTCCAAAGATTTATTTAAAAGATGTATAATAGGATTGAAGACTCCCTGATACAGGACAGGTTAGATGCTACTTCAGTTGTTCTGCCCAAGGGGAAAGAGCACCAACAGCAAGCTGCCTGCTCCACTCCTGCATGAGAGACACAACCAGGAAGCTGTCCTGGGCTCCATCGGAGCATTCCAGAACTTCCCCTTTCTTAAGCTTTCTCAAGTCCTATATGGATGTACTTGTCAAGCATTGGTGCCAACTATGGCTCCTGCATCCAAACCTGCACGATAGCAAGAGAGTCCCATAGTGACACCTTATATGTATCCATGTTTCTATTCTTCCTTAAAGGATTTTTGTATAATGATTCCAATTCAGGGTCAGTTTTGTTATACTATATGTATATTGCTACTCTCGTTTAAGGGATTACACTTACGCAGCTCATTTAAAAATGTAATAGTCATGTATATTATTCAAACTTACAGGCATGTTATGTTTTCAAGATATGCAGAGATATATTTCCAAACACTTCAAAGACCTATAGAATATGGCATTTAAAATGTTTTAATAATTTAGAACTCTTTGGACCTGAGATGTCCAATTACTTCAAAGAGGGTGATGGGCATCCAAAAAACTCATTATGGACTTTGCATTCTATGTGACAAGGTTAGTCATTTAGGCAAGACACTGCTCGTTTGGACTTCTTGACTGTATTCTATATAAACTGGACAGAACCCACAGGAAAGTCACTGCTGAACTTGACAAAACAAGATAGGACAGGCTGTTAGGATTACCGCTTCATGGAAGAGTCTGCCAAATATTTTGCAGTACACAGAGGAAAATGACTGACAAACTGCCAATACAATGGGATAGTTTCAAATTTTCTGCTTCCTTAAGAAGTCTACCAGACACTCTAGGCCTATAGACGGTTTGACTCAACATTACAGAAGAACTTTGGGTGACTCTCTGGGCAGGCAGATGTCTGTTATTTCTAGAGTTTTGAAAGTTGCTTACAATGCACTTGCAGTTTACCTAGGTAATATTATATCCTTTTGGCGCTTTTGATGGAGTTGAAGACTAGATAGTTAGAATTATAGTTTTCCTTAATTATAATAAAAGATAAATTATATATAAAATTGTAGACTCAAACATATGATAGATGATCGAGTATTTTCTTTAATTTTGTCAAATACAAATAGACTAAATAATATAACTGAAATTCTTGCTTGATAACTATTTTGTTATATATAATTTTCTTATATTAAAGTTAAAATGTTCCTTTTTTCAGATAGAAAAGGGGATGTCCTTCTCTATGCTGTGAAATGTGTTGCTTTTATTGGTTGATGAATAAAGCTATTTTGGACAATGGCCAGGCAGAATATAGCTAGGTGGAAAATCCAAACAGAGGTACAGAGAGAAAGAAGGAGTCGGGGAGATGCATGTAGCCATCTAAGAAGTAACGTGCAGGGCATCAGCAGTGAGCCACGAAATTGTGGCAATACACAGATTAGTAGAAATGAGATAATTTATCTGTGAGAGCTAGTCAGTAATATGACCAAGTCACTGGCCAAACAATTACAATTAATATTTAGGCTCTGAGTGGTTATCTTATAAGTGACTGTGGGAACCTGCAGGTGGAGAGAATCCAGTCCAGTGTGACTGGGCCAGATGGAGAAAAGTCTCCATTTATATTAGTCACCTGGAAGTTGCTATCTCTTTGGTAGCAAAGCTGATTGATACACTTGTATGTATCCATGACAACACGTCTTTGTAGCCCTGGAGAAGTCTTCATGAGGAAAGTGAACCTCGGTTGCTTTCTAAATCACAGATAACATTTGCACATAGGGAGTGTGAATGAGAAAGAAAGAAAGAAAGTTGTTAGGATAAGTTTGACACAGAAGAAAGCAAAGAAGAATGCAAATAGAAATCATTAGGCAGGGAGGTAAATTCGACAGCAAAAGACTTGATCTCAAGGGCCGTCAGATTGTTTTTGTCTATTTCATTTTCCTCAGAAATACTAACAAGATGAGAAGTTTAAGGCACTGTCTTTCATACATAGGCAGATTCTGAAGTTTAAATCTATAGCAGATTTAGAATGGCTCAGACTCAGCAAGCATTCAAGGCTAAGCATCTAGGCTTGACTTACAAATCTTGACTGAGGTATGAGGGCACATACAAGGTATTAAAGGATTGCGTTAGCTTAAAGGGCTAACTATACCTTCTGGGGATGTTTGAACAACTGTAGCGCCTCCAAACTAAATACATTTGTTTCCAATATTCAAATTCAAAAGTTTTTATGTTGAAGTTTAGTTAATGAGACTAGATCAACTATTCCTTTTTGAACAGCTTACCTACTTTTCTGAGAGCAAAATATGATTTTGTTTATGGTCAATAGTACGAAGCCCTAATCCCCCGAACCATACACTCATAGTTTAAATAGTTTAGTTGAAAACATGCAAATCAAATAGATGACATTTAGAGGACAATAGTCCTCTGTAAAACCTACTCTGGAATAGTAAGATTAAGAATGACATGAAGCAAAATATGTCTTTAAAAATGAGGAGGAGCTCAGTGAACTATACAAAAGCATCTAAAGGATATTTTGGTAGTTGAAATGTCAGTAAATTGATATTGAAATCAAATTTAATGAGAAATGTAGAAGCAATCATATATTTGAAGAATAAGGATGTTTTTTATAGTTAGCAATATTGTATTAATTAATGAAGAATTGATCATACTAATTTTTTAAATGATACAGTTCAAAGAACCAAGAATGCTAGATCATATTGTGGTAGAGTCTGCTAGTGCGTCTTTCTACCCTCTTCGTACAATGTAGTAAACTCTACATCTTTTCTGACAGACGGTCATAGAAATTCTACATAACGAAAACCTGTCTTGTCCAACAGCAGCAATGGTGTGGTTCATCTCACCTTTCTTTCCTAAGCTGTCTCCCCAAACCTCAGTTTAACTCAGTCTAGTCAGGACCAAGAGGGGTGCACCCACCCACCCACGGAGACAGTGGGGCTGATCTATTGGGAGCACACCAAGGCCAGCTGGACTGTGACTGAAAAAGCATGGGATAAAACCGGATTCTCTGAATATGGCGGACAATGAGGGCTGCTGAGAGCCAAGGACAATGGCACGGGGTTTTGATCTTACTTCTTGTTCTGGCTTTGTGGGAGCCTAGCCAGTTTGGATGTTCACCTTCCTAGACCAGGATGGAGGGGGGAGGACTTTGGACTTTCCACAGGGCAGGGAACCCTGACTGCTCTTCAGTCTTGAGAGGGAGGAGGAGAGGAGTGGGGGGAGGGGGAGAGGAGTTTGGGAAGGGGGGAGGAGTGGGAGGCTGGGAGGAGGCGGAAATTTTTTTTTCTCAATAAAAAAATATTATATAATATTTTTTGTGATGTATATTATACTCTTTATTGTTCACAAAATTTTATTTAGTATGTAAAAGTGTCCTGAAAAGCAAGTGCTTGAATGTTCATTTTACAGATTCAAAACCTGAGGCTAAGGAATCATTCCAATAACAATTTCTCCATCATTTCTGCTTCTGTAAATAACCTTTCATGCATATTCCTGTAATTAACCTCAATAAAACACAT